CTGAGCGAGCGTCCGGGAAGGCGGCTGCGGCTCCTGTGCGCGGCCCCGCGCCCTGTCCCCGCGCCCTGTCGCCGCTCCAGCCCGCCACCGCGGTGCCATGGCTCTGGCGGACAGCACACGTGGATTACCCAACGGGGGCGGGGGCGGCAGTGGCTCCTCGGCGTCCTCGGCCGAGCCGCCGCTCTTCCCCGACATCGTGGAGCTGAACGTGGGGGGTCAGGTGTATGTGACCCGGCGCTGCACCGTGGTGTCGGTGCCCGACTCCTTGCTCTGGCGCATGTTCACGCAGCAGCAGCCGCAGGAGCTGGCCCGGGACAGCAAAGGCCGCTTCTTTCTGGACCGAGACGGCTTCCTCTTCCGCTACATCTTGGATTACCTGCGGGACTTGCAGCTCGTGCTGCCAGACTACTTCCCCGAGCGCAGCCGGCTGCAGCGCGAGGCCGAGTACTTCGAGCTGCCGGAGCTCGTGCGCCGCCTCGGGGCGCCCCAGCAGCCCGGCCCCGGGCCGCCGCCGCACTCGCGGCGCGGGGTGCCCAAGGAGGGCTCCACGGGTGACGAGCTGCTGCCGCTGGGCTACGGGGAGTCAGAGCACCAGGAGGGAGCCTCAGCCGGGGCGCCGTCGCCCACGCTGGAGCTGGCTAGCCGCAGCCCGTCCGGGGGCGCGGTGGGCCCGCTGCTCACCCCCTCGCAGTCGCTGGACGGCAGCCGGCGCTCGGGCTACATCACCATCGGCTACCGCGGCTCCTACACCATCGGGCGGGACGCACAGGCTGACGCCAAGTTCCGGCGAGTGGCGCGCATCACCGTGTGCGGCAAGACGTCCCTGGCTAAGGAAGTGTTCGGGGACACTCTGAACGAAAGCCGGGACCCGGATCGGCCTCCCGAGCGCTATACCTCGCGCTATTACCTCAAGTTCAACTTCCTGGAGCAAGCTTTCGACAAGCTGTCCGAGTCGGGCTTCCACATGGTGGCGTGCAGTTCCACTGGCACCTGCGCCTTTGCGGGCAGTACCGACCAAAGCGAGGACAAGATCTGGACCAGCTACACCGAGTACGTCTTCTGCCGGGAGTGAGCACCCCGCCCCCTGCGCGTCTCCCGCGCTCGTTCCCCCTCTTTCCTGCGCGGAAGAGGGTCGCAGCTCTCCTTCCCACGCGTCTGCCCTTCCCCCCTTTCCCCACCTCCTGTAGCTGGGGCCAGATCCACTGGCGCCCCCACTTTAGAACCTGCAGCCGCAAATCCTCTGGCTTCTTGGTCTTCTTTGGTTCCCACTAATGGAGAGCCCAGTCCTAACCCCATGTCCTACCCTCCCCCACCCCCGCGTCCTCTTCCCTGTCTCCAGCCATTCCTTTCCCGATTGTCCTTCAGTCTATTGGGGGCAGTATGGCCACAAAGTCACCAATTCCCTGGGAATAACTGAATTGTTCAGAACCTGATCGGACCTTGTCCAGTGTGTAGAAGATTCCTGGAAATATTTTCAAGCCCTTGTGATTTATTCCAGCTTAAGAGAAAGGAATTGATAATACTGTCGGGGGATAGCTAATGTCTTAAAGGCCATCATACAGTCTTCTTCACCCTCTTTAAAGGTAGTTGTAGAAGGTTGGATGGAAAAATCTGGACCTGGAATTAGGATCCTATGGAAGCAGTTCAGTGACTATAGAAGTAAAGTTTTGAGAAGCTGTTACAGGTAGAAATAGGAGAAGCCTTGAGTGCTGGCACAGTGAAAGAGCCTATCTTTTCCATGCAGAACTAAAGTTTTAACCTGTGGCCTAAACTTGTAGAGTGTTAGCCTTTGCCTGAGGAATCTCCCTTTCTCCTGGCTCATCATCGCTGGAAGCCTTCCCTTGGATTGGTTGACATGGCAGCCCTTCCTGGCAGGAGAGAGAAAGCACTACTGCTGGAGGGAACAAGACAGCCCAGGTGACCAAGCTCTGTGGGACATCACCTGGCGGTGACTGTAAACAGAACTGGGTAGTAACGCACGTGTGACTGTTAGAAAAGCCAATGTTCTTGCAGTGAATGGCGGTAGGACCTTAGCTCTTAGACTTGGGGGAGGGGGAGGGGTGGGGAGGGGAGAGGATGGGTGGGAAGGGAGGAGCAGACATAATTCATCTTTTGTTTGGAAGTTAGTACCATCTACTTGAATACACAGACATTCAGAAAAATAAATAGTACACAAAACTTAAAGCATTTTATAAGATTCATAACATCTACTCTTAACTGGCAGTTTATTAACTGTTTTGCATCCTAAACTTAGAAGTTCTTCATACTTATATAACCTAACCAAAGATTTACCCTGTAGGGTTTTAGTTTTTGAACTTACTTTCTTGATGATTATATCCTGATTTTAAAATCTACTTACTTAAGCAAATATATATTTGATTTTTGTTAACTTAGACTTAGGAGTTCTTATTTAAAAAAAAAAAAAATTCTCCAAGCCCAAGGATATCGACAACTGGGCATACCCGAAAATGCCACTTCTTTCATGCAGATTGTTTGAAGTTAAGATAGAGTCATTTTGAGTGACAGCCTGCACAGTAACAGAAGCATGGAGGGCTGCCCATCTGTAGATAGAAAGCTGGGAAATTAACTATTTTTCAACAAAGGCAGAAGAGTACCTAAAAGTGAGCCAAGCAATAAAATAGTGTTTTAGGTAAATGCAACAGAAACAGAAGGAGACCTGGTTGCCTTATACCTTTACTCTAACATGGAACAAATTCCCACTGCTTATCCTATTTATACCATAAGTGAAGGGAAATGAATCCTTGTCTTTCATGCTGTGAGGCTCCTTTGGATATTCTATGATGACAGAGAAGCCTTTCTTTTTTTGGTTTGTTTCAGCATCTTATTCTGAAGTATGTTTTTAAAGATTTTGTAAGGGTTCTTTTCAGTGTTTAGAGATGTTTCTCTTCTTTTTAAAAATGAAACTTGTACCATGTCTTACTATGTCCATAACAGATGTTAAGAATTGGAACAATTTTATTCTTACACTCATGTAATTCAATCTGTATATACCATACATAAACAAACATTTTACACGAATCATTTAGTTTTTTAATCCACTTACCAATACTATAAAATTTCCTATATTTACTCCCAGTAATCAGATGGTGTATATATTAAAGCAACGTGTTTTGATGAATTTCTTACTCCTTATCTATAGGGAAATTGTGGTAGGAAAACACACATAACTATACAACTAGTTTGCTCCATACTTTTGCTTGGATATTAGTTGTATACTTGCTGTCAAAATATCAAGGTACCTGTATTTTCAATCCACTAGTTCTTTTTTTTTTTTTTTTATAACTGAGAAAGATTGGAAGTCTGCCTTTTTAGGAAAGTAAAGTTAGCTTTGTGTATTGAAGCTATAACCATAGAAGAAATGGAAGCAAAAATCTGTTAAGTTGTTTATATATGGGGTACATTCTCAAATTAGCTAATGCTTGGGTATGTATCTCTGTTTCAAGCTTGAAATGATTTACAAATGTTGCTGGCCAAAATTGAGTGTCACAGAGATTTTCTCCACCTCCTGTGGTGTTTTGTTAGAATGTTGAACAAAACCTCACATAATTGAGAACATCTCAGGGCAGATTGAAATCACTGACAGATGGCAAGACTCCGGATTCTAATTTTCCTCCTTAAATCTGCACAAATCTGGTAGGAACAGGAAACTGTTAAAGTTCTGTCTCTGCCACTCAAGTCTTCGGACTGTTACCTTGTAAAACTTCGAATTGAGTTATTGCACTGCTTTGTCTGAACACATCTTACTCCCCACATAGTTTTGCTACTCTGCAATGCTTCCACTGCCCCTTTCATTATCTGACAGTCCTGGAATTTTTTTTTTAATGGTGTAAAACTCACCTCATGTTTTAGGAATGACTCTCCTCTCTGAGGTTGAAGGTTGCCACATGAAAACATTGTACTTTGTGCCCAAAGTAAAGGTTGAAAACTCATTTTGCTTTAGGTAGATGGTACAGTTGAGGCAAGCTGTCTTGGCATGAGCGCTTTTGGGCCCATCCCATTATGAGCTTTGGCTACAAAAGGATCCTTAGGGGTCTATAGAGTGAGCCAGAGTGTTGGTGGGATGGGATGGTGAGGCCCATGCAATTAAACCCCCCAAAGACACCTTAGAAATAACCTGGGGGGATGTCAGAAATTACTGAGCTAATTTATGACTGTATCAATCTGATTCAGTGTAGCATGTATTTACATATGTAATGGATAATTAACATTTGGTTCATAGATACAACTGAGTGACACTAGTTTTTAATGATAATTTTTTAAAAAAGGTTTGTTGATGGTTAAAACAACAGGTACCATGTTTAATACTCTTGCACCAAGTGTCAACAAGTTGTCTGTTTTTTAATACATATGGAGTGTGACTCATAAACATTCTGATTTTTTAAATATTGTAGAAAATTTTCCATGAAGGTGTGAGACTTAGGACACTTTTTCCCTTTCAATGCTGTTTTTAATGTGTTTCTTTTTAGGATGTTTGCACTGATCGCAAAGGGATAGTTTATAACTTAGCCAAATTGTCTTCACTTTCAAATCAGATCATATGTATGGGACCTGTTGCTTCTCTGAGGAAATGAAAAATCTGTGAGTACTCAGACAAAATGGGCAACTGGCAATGCTCATTACATTCCACTTTTCATTGGAAATTTCCATGGAATGTTATTACACAAAGCCATGTGAAGCTTTGATAATTTTTTACTTTTTGAATTATGATAAATTCTAATACTCAAAAATTTTTGTATTATTCATGCAAATTGCTAAATGTGCAGGCATTTAGAAAAGTGTTGACTGGGGGGGTTGAATTCCTTCAGAATTTCTTTTATAGTCAAAATCTTAGATACTTTACTCAATTGACTTACAATTTTAAAATAGTAAACTGAATATTTTTATTATAAACATACCAGAGTAAATCCTTTGTAATTATTTCCTGTTTTTTTTTTTTCCTTACTGTCACTCATTTAAAAGCTGAATTAGTTTTCTTAGGAGACCTAAGTCTGTCTATTGAAAAATAAATAAAATACTATTGTATTTCCAGTGACTGTAGTACCTGAAATAGGGTTTGTAGAGCCAGAAATGAATTATGTAGAAGTTAGCTTTCTTTGTCACATTTTAAAAAAATTGAGTTTTTTTTTTTTTTGAGTTAGCAGTTTACAACACTGTGTATGATTTAGGGTTATAGGCTCACAAGATGTCTTTGTCACAATTTTGAACTTAACAATCTAAAAATAATAACTTTTGAAGTTTTAGATTCTATACTGGGATTCTTAAGACTTAGGAGGAAGAAATTCCACCAGACTATCTACATTAACCTTGTGTGGTAGGAAAAATGGATATTCTTGTCACCTTCTACATTGTGTGATTATTTTTTTTCCCTAGCCAAGTTTAAAAAAAAAATTAAATGTGTTTTCAATATGTGAAAATTATCTGTAATGTAAACTATTATACAACTGTCTTTGTGACTTTGTAGGTAGGTTAATTTTGCTATTGAATACAGATGACAACAATGCATTAAGGTCATTTAAATAGCAGCAACAAAGGGTGAAAGCATTCACCGTGGATGTTAATTTTGAAGATGTAAAATTCATTATTTAAATTTTTCTGGGCATCTGAAAAATCTTATCTGCTAAACAATGTAAGATTTCCACAGAGCTCTCTGGGATTATGAAATTGCTGAAAATTTTATATGCTAAGTGATGCGTAGCACTGAGTCATTTTCTCAAAATAGGAGAAAGAAAAAAGAAAACACACGGTAAGATTATCAGACTTTTGTAATGAAGCAGAAAGCCAAGAAAAAAAAATTGCTCTATATTTAAAAAAAAAGATGCTGATGAAATCTTTTCAGACATGCCCAAGCTCTAAGTGAGATTTCTTCAACTATCTAATTGCTCTAGAGAATTTTGTGTTCCCTCTTCACAATCAGTTGTATAACAGAAATACTCGATACTGTTTTCCTCCTATGTGTGAAGTAATGAATCATTGATTATGTGACTTGTTATGTATTCTATTAAACACTAAAGAATAAAACATTCACTCCTTTAATTATTCCTCTTGGCTACTGGGTATGGATTATCTTGATCACCGGCCCAGTTTCATAGAAGGGTTCTCTAAATACTGGGGACTGCTTCTCACATTGTGTGGGGATGAGCGTTGTGATAAGCATCATACCCTCAGAAGGCCTTATCTGTTGCCAGGCGGGCCAGGCGTGAGTGCGAACAGGTTCTTACCAAACAGGTATTGTCAGGGACACCTGGGCCAATGTGTTCCTTCAATTTTCTTTGACCTCAGTGTTTACACCACACATGAATTGTTTTTAAAGTTAAGAATCTGGGGCCCTCACTGGTGGTTCAACAGGTTAAGGTATAACACGGTGAAACTAGCTGCAGCCACCACAGCATGAGTTCGATCCTGGGCCAGGGAGGGGACCCACGTGGCAAGACAGACCTCTCCTGTCTCCCCTCTTGCTCCCTCAGCAGTGTACTTCATCTATTTGCCTCTTAAAGTTAGGAGGGAAAAGGAGATAGAAGCTGTGAGAAATGCTGTAATTCAAAGCTTAATTCATGAAGATAAATTCTAAAAAACGTTGGGTGGGGTCCTCATTTTTGAACGAGGGGATCTTTTCTCATTCATCTCCAGTTATTGAAGCCTCACAGATTGAGAAGCCACAGAAGCAGGCATCTCCAGCGTGGTTTGCTGGGATTGGGCACAGGAAGCCATGAGGCGGTGGGGAAAAGAGCGGGCTGCGCCCTTCCGCTTTGCTTTTGCCTGCACTTCCTCTAGAGAGCTTTTGTTTTCAAAGTGCATGTGTGTATGTGCCTGCAAGTACACGCATACAGTTGTTTTTTTTGGAAAGTTCATGATGAAAATTGTAAGCAACACTTTTATTTAAGAGTCCATATACAGTAAATCTTCATCTTCTAGTACCCCTACCTTTTCCCCAGGGGTCACCATTGGTGTATCTGTATGGAGGAGCCTGCAGCTGTGAATACATGAGTATTGTTCCCCTTTTCTCTGTTCAGTTGGGATTAAACCTATTTGTACCTTGTTTTCTTCTTTTAACCACATAGCCTGGAGCTCTTG